GCTCAGTTACCTGTGGGCTTCAGTACTTTCTCCCAGTGTTCTAAGAATTCCCTAAGCCAGTGATTACAATCTCCAGCTGAGATCTTCCTGAAATATTCTGCCAGTTCCTTGTTGTTCTCCCACTCCTCCTTGATCCCTCTGGCTCCAGGATCAACGACTGTCCAGTTCATGGTCATTGTGTCAAAGAGGGCTGTCTGCTCCTCGATGTTGAACTCCCAGGATGCACCAGTGCATCGTTCTGCTTCCCGCTGACAAGACAGCTTGACCTGCATAGTGTGAATACCTGCAACCCCACCCACAAGTCATCATCATCCTCGACTCTTGAGAGCTCCACCATCTCCCAGCCGGTCAAGTGTGTCTGCACATTCATGGGTCTGTATTTTTCTCTCCATGACCCGCCCTTTCTTGCCCATTAGGTCCACCTCATCTCTAAGGCTGGACCCCTGTTCACTTCTTTTACTCAAGGCCCCTTCCCTGCATGTGCTCTGCTCCTCCCGCTCTCCTGCTGACTGTCTCCATCTTCCACCCCCTTCCCATACTTACCCTTGGTCCTGTTTTTCTCCAGTTTGATGACAGGCAGGATCATCCTGAGCTCTTGCCCCATTTCTCCCAGTGTTTGGGTCAAGTCTGTCCATGCCTTGCTGGCATTTACCTTCTCCCCCAAGAGACCCAAAGGTCTGACCTCGTTGCTGTCACTGTCATACTGAATGAAAGGCTTTGTATCCACTGAGCCCTGGACTTCACACCAGGGTTGTCCAGGTCTGGACTGAGATTTGACAGTGAGGTCAAGGCAAAGAGAGTGAGCATCTGTAAAAGAAAAATGCAAGTCTGGCCCTGGGACTCCCTGCAGGGGGCCTGGCTGCGGAGGGAGGAGTCTCTATCCCTGCCCCCCTCCATCTTCTGGATCCTTGTCATGTCTCACCTTTACCTGGGTGAGGTTTAGTAAAACACTCTGATGTAAAATACATGATACCATGGACCCCCCGGTTGCATGACTGTTACCAGGAAGATTCATCTGACAAATATGTTAAGCAACATCTACCAAGTTCTGAGGTACAAAAAATGCAAGACAGTGTTTGTCCTCCCAGGACTTAAAATCTAGCTGAACAGACAGGACTTTTAATCGAAAGGGAAAAAAGACACCTTGG